TCCATTTGTAGAAGCCATCCTCTCTTTAACTTCAGCTTTTTCACAGATGGCATCAAGTTACCATCCAAAATTTGCTTAAATTTTATTGAATCCATTTTTCCTTCTACTCGTGAGATGTTCCCTGTGCCACTGGCTGCAACACAACCCCAAAGCATGATTGATCCAACCCTATGCTTAACAGTTGGACAGAGGTTCTTTTCATTAAATTCTGTGCCCCTTCTTCTCCAAACATACCTTTGCTCATTCGGCCAAAAAGTTCAATTTTAACCTCATCGGTCCACAGAACTTGTTTCCAAAATGCATCAGGCTTGTCTATATGTTCATTTGCAAAGTTCAAACGATGATTTTTGTGGTGAGGGACGTAGAAGAGGTTTTCTTCTGATGACTCTTCCATGAAGACCATATTTGTACAAGTATCTCTTTACAGTGGAATAGTGTACCACAACTCCAGTGTCTGCCAGATCTTTCTGAAGGGATCGTGCAGTCAAACGTGGGTTTTGTATTGTTTTTCTCACAATCCTGCGAGCTGTTCTGTCTGATATCTTTCTTGGTCTTCCAGATCTTGCTTTAACTTCCACTGTTCCTGATAACTGCCATTTCTTAATTACATTCCGAACAGAGAATATTGACATCTGAAAACGCTTTGCTATCTTCTTATAGTCTTCTCCAACTTTGTGAGCGTCAACTATTTTCAGTTTTCTAGACAACTGCTTAGAAGAACCTATGGTGCTGATTGTTGGGGCAAGGTCAGATGAGTCTGGGCATTTAAAACCTTTGAGATTGATATCACCTGGTCTTCCCAGACGATGATTGAGAACAATCCATGACACTGGCAGGTCTCAGCTTTGCAAAGGCAGTGCATGCTATAAATTCTGCAGGGTGCCCAAACTTTTGCAGACGCCATTTTTTTGTTTTCTGTTATTTTGAAAGTGTAAATGATGGAAATAAAATCTAACTTTTGTTGACATATTATAAGAATGTCTAATCTGTAATTTGATGCCTTTTGGAGATTTTTCCATCTTTCCTTGGCTTCTTTATGCACATTAATACAAATTTTTAGCTGGGGTGCCCAAATTTTCGATCCCCACTGTATATTATACACAACCCTAATTTAGCAATTACAGGTTAGAAACAAGAGCAAATGCAGCAATGCAAAACAAGTTAGGATTGCAGGTGAATATATCAAACCGATTTTAATTCTGCCATTTCTGAGGTCTTATGTTACAGGTATATAGCTACCTAAAAAAGAATTATGTGGAAGCCTTAGCGTATGACTGGCTATGTTTCACTAAAGCTGTCCACCCACTCCTAAAATTGAGGCTGCAGAGAAAAGACATTTATAAAAGTTAAATGACTTCTCATTTTGATATGTGTTGTGGAATTCACTGTGAACATTCTGCAGGGAACATAACAGATGAACTATCTATAGTTCTCATACAACTGGAACAATAATGATCAAGACAAGAGAATTATTCAAGAAGAATAAGAAAACTAGCGTGTGATCATTGCTGACAGTTGGTGCTTATCTTTCATACGGTTTCCTCTACAGCACATATGCTGACAATGCATTTTAAGGACAACACAGGAGCCATTTGTCCCCCTTTCTTGAAATGCCACTATGATAAAAAAATAAAGGACAGGCAAATGTAAGAGAACTTGCAATTTGTATCCCAAAAAACACAAATTTTGTTCTGCTTCGAGTGCAAAATAAAAGAGAAAGAATATTTTTGTCTTTGTCACAAAACTTTTTTATGTGGGGGGGGGAGGTTGCTTTCAGCAATCTGAAAATCCCCATCAATGTCAACATTATTCAAAAAAACAAAACGCTAACCTAGAATTGTAAAAAAAAATTAAAGGTCAAAACTGAAAAGTAAGCCATAAGATACATATAGAACACAGCCTACCTAGACAACACATCATATGTTTTTTTCAACCATTGCCATATGCACCGGTCCACCCTCATGGTTATACCCTAGGTTCACGCCTAAGCGTTTTTGCAGCGTTTTGCAGAAACAGTCCATTTAACATGATTTCCTATAAGACATGTTCACACCTGTGTAAGCCATAAGATACATATAGAACACAGCCTACCTAGACAACACATCATTTGTTTTTTCAACCCTTGCCATATGCATCGGTCCACCCTCATGGTCATACCCTAGGTTCGCACCTAAGCGTTTTTGCAGCGTTTGCAGAAACAGAAACAGTCCATTTAACATGTGATTTCCTATAAGTTTTTTCAACCCTTGCCATATGCATCGGTCCACATGTTCAGGTTCGCACCTAAGCGTTTTCTGTGTAAGCCATAACATTATTTCCTATACATATAGTAAGCCATAAGATACATATAGAACACAGCCTACCTAGACAACACATCATTTGTTTTTTCAACCATTGCCATATGCATTCCTATAAGACATGTTCACACCTGTGCGTTTTCCCCCGGTGTGTTTTTTGGAAAGGGTTAGGGACTTTTTTGAATGCAAAAAGTTGCATTTTTGTTTCTATAGACTTCAATAGAAACGCTGCAAAAAACCATTTATTGCTTTTTTGCAGCATATTTGTATGCATTTTTTCAGTGTTTTTGATGCGTTTTGCATTTTAAATCCACCTAGCAAGAAGAAAAATGTAAAAAAAATTTTTAAAAAACCCTGCAAAACTCATGAAAAACGCATAAAAAATGCAAGTGCAAAAACGTAATGCAGAAATGGCTCAAACGCAACCTGCATAGGTGTGAACCTAGTCTTATGTTGGTTTTCTGGAGACTTCTGAATCCTTGTTTATGATGCACAGCTGTTTTCAAAAACCTCACACTGCAGGCTACTTGCTGTCTCTCGCATAAAAAGCCACCAGTTAGTATTATGTTTGCCTTGAAATAGAGAATATGGGAATAAGTTAAACAGCTCAGGTTTTTTAAAAAGCATAGTCCCAATAGCTTGGATAACATGCATGTATGGACACTGGATATCATAAAGAATGTACATTTAGTAATCTGAGTGAACCCTGACTTTAAACGTTAGTTCACCTTTGCAAAGAAACTGCCTATGTAATTAAGGGGCACGAGTAGATAAAAACAAACTGCAATGAACAAAACTGAACAATTTACCTGTTATTGTTGTAGGCCACCCCCCCCTCCTTCCAGAAGACTGCCAGAAAAACTTCCATAGCCAGCATTCCCCTATTCCGTCCTATTGCTAGGATGTTACTATGATTCTTGCATGTGCTCTCTCTCATCAGCAGCGGTAACTCAGAGCTCAGCATTGAATCAAAGGGTTAGATGGAGAATGGCACGTGTAGGGAGTTTTAAACCAAGACAGAGCTCACTCTTGTAATGCTGCAGGTGAGCAACAATGGCTGGAGGTTTGACTGAAGCATCATGGCAATGTCCTAGCCACAGCTTTACTTTATTCACTTCGATAAGTTAAACACTTACTGTACTTTACAATGTGGAAATATATTTTATTTCTTTAGTAAATCAAGCCAAATGAGTTGTACACTTTTTCAATTAAAAAGAGAAACTGTTGAGTCAGGTAATGCATAATAGGGAACTATGGATTTGAAATCCCACTACAAATCTCCAGCTACACCATTAACACATAAAAATGCTAAGCTGAAGAAAACTTAGGCATTAACAGTAACAGACAATAAGCATGAACTTTGAAAGCACAGTGAGAACAAATTGCTCTCCAATTTAATACAGTAGAAATTGTTCCCCCTGGTTTAAATGTATTCGATTGAACAGTGCTGTAACCTTTGGCATTAACCAGTATGCTGTGGTTACATATTCAAAATGCAGCTCATAAATTGCTTGATTATTTTAACTACAGGTCACTGGTCTGTCACTATCACACAAGGACACAAATTAAAAAACATGACTATATTGCCAATGTGAAGATGCAGCAAGGAAATTGAGTCTAGATGAGCAAAACCCCAAAATTAGGTGCCACATATGAGTGGGCAGCCACATGGCCATGTCATCCTTTCTTTGGGTAACATTGTTGTTTTTCCTGCCAACATTATAACAAATCATTTTTCAATTTAAATAGAATAGTATAAGAACCATATAATTTTATATATCTATATTTTTCATATTATTTACTAAATCAGCTTTTAGCAATTATACTTCGTATGAATGAAATCCTTTAGAAGGGTGCTGATTAGAAATTTCTATAACACAGCTGTGCAGGTAATATTTATTCCATTTCTTTCTAGCCAATCGAACATATAAGCAGAGGACAGGTAAAGTGCCAATTTGCTTTAAATCTGGCTTATTAAATGAGAGATGCAAAAGAAAAATCAAAGTGTTTGCTAGCCTTGTTACAGGTTATTGACTTCCTGTTACAAAACCACAATCCGGCACGTTTCCTCTACCGCATGAATCTTAATTTATAATGTGCCCCACTGAGTGCTGTTATTATTAAATTGCACCCTGTGGCTTTGAGATGGCTCTAATCAACATTAGGACTACAGTTTATTACAGTGGGGTAGTAGTGTTTGAAGGTTATTCATAGCGTTGTCATGATGTCTTTTCAAATACTGAGCTCATAATCCTAAAATACTTTTTTTAAAAATTGGAATTCTTAAAGAAAAAGATGTCTACAAATATTATAAATTAACCACTAGCCTACAGGGCACTTATACCCCCTTCCTGCCCAGGCCAATTTCCAGCTTTCAACGCTCTCACACTTTGAATGACAATTGCGCGGTCATGCAACATTGTACCCATATGAAATGTTTATCATTTTTTTGAGACAGATAGAGCTTTCTTTTGGTGGTATTTAATCACCTCTAGGATTTTTATTTTTTCTTAAACAAACCATGAAAATTTTGAAAAAAAAAAATTTTTTCTTAGTTTTTGTTATACAATTTTGTAAATAAGTGATTTTTCTCCTTCACTGATTTGCGCTAAGAAGGCTGCAGTGATGGGCACTGATAGGCTGCACTGATGGACACTGACAGGCATCACTGATGGGCACTGAAAGGCAGCACTGATATATGACACTGATAGGCGGCACTGTTAGGCAGCACTGACTGGCACTGTTAGGCGGCACTGACTGGCACTGATAGGCGACACTGATTGGCAGCACTGATAGGTGGCACTGACTGGCACTGATGGGTGACATTGAAAGGCAGCTCAGATGGGCACTGATATGTGTCATTGATGTGTACTGGTATGCACTAATATGTGGCATTGATGTGGCACTGGCACTGATGAGCACTGACAGGTGGCACTTCTGGGGCCACACTGATCATCAGTGCCCTCAATGTCATCATCAATGTCTCCTCCGCGGAAAGCCGATTACCGGCTCTCCTCTCCTCTCGAGCTGTCAGTGTAACCGGCATTTCCGTGTTTACTTGTGATCAGCTGTGATTGGACACAGCTGATCACATGACCGAGCCGACATCTTCGGCTCTTGTGATCCGCTGTGTCGGACAGCGGACCGGCGATCTCCACGCTGCGCACTCCCTGAGCCGCGCATGCGCAGTGAGAATGGTAGGACGCCATATGACATCCTATCATAATGAGAGAACCACCTTGCGCCCGTCATTGTACTATAGGGCGGGCGGAAGGTGGTTAAACAAATCTTATACAAAAAATGTCTCAAATATACATTATAAAGTATGTAAAACTAATCCTTTCATAATAGTAGTGACATTTTTTGTATACGGAAATACATACTGTATATAACACATGAAACGTCTTGGCCTTTTTCTATTATATGGCTACAAACTATAATATTCTTACATGGTACATTGCAAAAGTATTCATATTCTTGAGCTATTTTCTCAATTAACTGTATAACAAATTTTACAATGACATTTTATTTTGTGAGATATTTATATTTAAAAGCACAAAAACCATTAAATATACACTCACCGGCCACTTTATTAGGTACACATTGCTAGTAACGGGTTGTACCCCGTTTTGCCTTCAGAACTGCCTTAATTCTTCATAGCATAGATTCAACAAGGTGTTGAAAACATTACTCAGAGATTTTGGTCCATATTAACATGATAGCATCACGCAGTTGCTGCAGATTTGTCGGCTGCACATCCATGAACGAATCCCTGTTTTACTACGTCCCAAAGGTACTCTACTGGATTGAGATCTGGTAACTGTGGAGGCCACTGGCGTACAGTGAACTCGTTGTCATGTTCAAGAAACCAGTTTGAGATGATTTGAGCTTTGTGACATGGTGCATTATGCTGCTGGAAGTAGCCATCAGAAGATGGGTACACTGTAGTCAAAAAGGGATGGGCATGGTCAGCAACAATACATAGGTAGGCCGCAGCATTTAAACGATGCTCAGTTGGAATTAGGGGGCCCAAAGTGTGCTAAGAAAATATCCCCCACACCATTACACCACCAGCAGCCTGAAATGTTGATACAAGGCAGGATGGATCCATGCTTTCATGCTGTTTATGCCAAATTCAGACCCTACCATCTGAATGTCACAGCTGAAATAGAGTCATCAGACTAAGCAATGTTTTTCCAATCTTCTATTATCCAATTTTGGTGAGCCTGTGCAAATTTTAGCCTCCGTTTCCTGTTCTTAGTTGACAGGAGTGGCACCCGATGTGGTCTTCTGCTGCTGTAGCCCATCTGCTTCAAGCTTTGATGTGTTGTGCGTTCAGAGATGGTATTCTGCATACCTTGGTTGTAATGAGTGGTTGAGTTACTGTTGCCTTTCTATCATCTTGAACGAGTCTGTCTATTCTCCTCTGACATCACCAAGGCATTTTTGTCCACACAACTGCCACTCACTGGATATTTTCTCTCTTTCACACCATTGTCTGTAAACCCTAGAGATGGTTGTGCATGAAAATCTCAGTACATCAGCAGTTTTTTAAAATATTTAGACCAGCCTATCTGGCACCAACAACCATGCCACATTCAAAGTCACTTAAATCCCCTTTCTTCCCCTTTCTGATGTTTGAACTTTAGCAAGTCATCTTTACCATGTCTACATACCAAAATGCATTGAGTTGCTGCCATGTGATTGGCTGATTAGCAAGCAATTGAACAGGTGTCTCTAATAACGTGACTGATGAGTGTATGTATTTTAGGCTTTTCATTCACATCGAATGCTCAGCCATTCTCCTTGGTTAAAGTTCTGACTCTTCCTGATAGTGTCAAAGCACGCTCTCCCCCCTCCACCATATATTCCTCTTGGCTCATTTGAACCGCCTCATTGACCAAATGGATTGTGGGTATATAAGGGATACCAGAGTGGGTTAGCAAGCTTCAACACTACAGGAAATAACAAAACTTTGCCTGTAGAATGGTGAGATTTAAAGCAAATGAAGCTATAAGAACCTGCACTCCACACTAACTAGCAGTGTTTTTTCTTGTTAAAATGACAGAATGTATTTAAAATGCCCAGATCCTACTAATGAAATGCAGCCATACAGTATAAAATACTCACCACACTGTTCCACCATAGATATAATAGATATAAGTTTGAATAAAGTATGATCGGCAACAAACAAATCAGCAAAAAAGTTCTCAGTCTCATATGACTACAAATTATTTTCCACATAGTAGATGGGCAACTTCTGGACTTTTTACTTCCAAACATATAGTCTACTGATCAGGAGCAGACTGACAACTCATGGGGCCCCCGGGCAATAAGAGATAATGGGGCCCCCTGTGTCTCCACCTACACTCAAGCCAAAGCCACACCCACACAACACCTCACCTACATATTGCAGCTCAGCTGCATAGAAAGGGCATTAAAAATTATTGTAAAAAGAATAAAACATCAAGGGGTCCCCCCCTCCCATCCATACCAAGCCCTTCAGGTCTGGTATGGGTTTTGAGGGGAACCCCCACGTCAAACATTTTTAAAAAATGGTATGGTATCAACATGGGGACAAGGTGCCTTGGGGGGGGGAACCCAAAGCACATTTTTATGCAATGGCTTTCACCGGCAATATTATAAAATTTTTGTATACAAGTGATGATGCAGGGGCTGGAGAGTTGTGTACAGACCTGAAGTATCAGACATTTTCGAAAGCTTTAAAGTGAATGCCGTGGGGGACAGGGGATGAGGTGTGTGAATGACCTATTGATAAAGTTCTGGAGATGCAGCCCTCCTCAGATGGGGAAATCAACGAACTGGAAGAAAGCATACAGGTGGCGCAAACACCTAGCCCATTATCCAAGGTTTATTAAAAAGTGTAAAAAGACAAAAGACATACTCACAAACACAGCGCATATAAAAAGCCTATAAGGCCACAGAGATGGCCGCAAGGATGGCAGAGTATCCGACTGGTGGTGCGGTCAACCTACTAACGCATTTCGGGGACGAATCCCTTTCCTCAGAGCTCTGTCCAGTCGGACACTCTGCCATCCTTTTTACACTTTTTAATAAACCTTGGATAACGTGATTGTGTTTGTGCCACCTGTATGCTTTCTTCCAGTAAAAACAGCCCAAACTTTTTTTTCTTAATTATTTTTGAATAAAATATGTAAAAAGGTAAAACCTCTGCTAAATTGTTATTTTGATGTCATGGAGTAATTTCCTTTCATTTTCGGTACCAGAGATGTAACAGGAAGGTAGAATTAATTCCTAAAAGTGAGGCAATTCCCTTTCTAGACAGATGTCCCCACTAAAGCATTTTCCCTCACCTCATGTTCTGGGAACAACTCTAAAATTTTGGATTTCCCTTTTACTTTCTTCCTCAGTGGCAATGGCCTGGTCACCAGTATATAAAGAGAGTGAATCTCCCGAGCACGGACACAGACATTAACTTAAAAAAAAAAAAAAAACTTTACAGAAACTCTTCTCCGCTATATCAAAAACATAAATGAAAGGTCTTGCCTAGTGAAACACATTTTTTTTGTCAGGCTAAAAGGCAGCATCAGGGCCTCTAAATGTGAGTGTTTTATTCAGAAAATGGGGCAGTTGTAGGGTTCAACAATAGGGGTCAACTGAGTCCTTGTAAGTTAGTTGATTTACACAATAAATATTAATGCAACAGCATTTCTTTATACATGTTTTTAACCTTTTTCTTTAAAAAAAACAAATGCAATATCATATAAAAAGCTTTCAGAGCCTTTTAGAGTGTGGGCACACCACCATCAGCTCTCATCTGGATGGAGCCCAAAGTTTAGTATACAAATGTTACTTTTACAATTAAAACCTTTATTAATGAGCAAATCTCTTTTAAATGCTGCAGAAAATATCCTCATACACCAGAATAAATACAGAAGTTTAATTTTACCACAGATCTTACAGATTTATGGTTGTATATACTGCTATATTTCCGGATATAAAAGCACTGACTATTTATTGTACTTGTATTATATGTTACCTTTTCAAGATGTTCAGTGCATTCAATGTGTCTCAAGAGCCTCATGCAATGTATAAAAAACTGCCAGTGACTGTATTTATTTCTATGAATCTGTCATCCTATTTCATTTGTAATTGTATTCTGCTATTATCATTTTTTATCTCCATATGTTTTGAAAACAAGCAAATTAAAAATAATTTAATAAAAGTACCAGGAGTACCTGTACTAAAACTAAAGTCCCTAATCCTTGTTGTGTAATGAGAAAAAACACTGGTGGATCTACTAGCATTTTTGTAATACTTGTACATAAAAAGATTATTATATCAGGTATGAAATACTCATTATCCAAATGGCAGCACAGTAGTTACAAGTACTTACATGAGAGCAGCACATGTGTATATTGTAGAATATTATTGAACCTAAAAACCAAGAGACATCATTAGACTGTGTGCAGTCCCAACTCTTGTTGTGTCATTCAGTAGGTATAAAAATGCAATGAAAAAAGCCAACCAGTACATCATTGCTAAGGGAACAACTCCCAGCTTCTCTTTATGTGTTATATTACTTGTACAACAGTAAAACAAGAATAAGGAAATTATTCTTATATATTGTACCAGGGAATTGAGAACAATTTGTGATTACAATTCCCTCTATGATCTTACAAGAAGTTTCCATTTATGTGTTTACGTATTTTATGACCGACGTGTCTATATAAAAGCACAGTGAAAAACAAAACCTACATTTAACTGTGACCCAAAGCACATCAGAGAATCATTCATCACAAGCGTTAAAAAAAAAAAAAAGAAGCACAGAACAATTAAAAATTAGCAATGTGCCAGAAAATTACTTAAGCCAAAAAACACAATATAATTTATCATAAAAACAGTATTTCAAATGAATCCCTAGCAATAATTAATCAGATCAGTGTTGCTGCCCATCTTTAGCCAAACAGTTCTGCAAAGTGTACCATTTTGAATTGAAATGGTATTTTGCAGTACTACAAAGTACACTTTTTCATAGAATGTATATTCCAACTAATATAGCGAAATCACCATAGATAAACAAATTTATCAGTAAAGCCAAAATTGAGGAAGATTATTAACATTAGAGATATTATTGACAGGC